TATTTCAACCCATATTCAAAGCTAGAAGAAGTGTTGTCGGGCCAATCTATCAAATTGGGGTTAGTGTAATCGTGGAACAATGAACACGATTTAAAGCAATCGCAGTTGACAAATTAATTAAATTCGAAGAGATGGATAAACCAATATTGGATGTAAAAATTAAAGAAGTACCAGTTGATTTTTAGTTACACCTCAAAAGGATGAAGGTAAATGTCCAGTTATATGTAAAATAGTATGGTAGCATTCGTAAGAGGGCACATGAACTGTATCGCATGGATTTACAAACACATTATCAAATTTGATTCAATATTTAACATGCATAATCTTTATGTAAACATAAATACCTTCAGGTGAAGTAAAAACCTTAGCAATATCATATAGTCAGCAAGGAAGTGTTGAACCTCCTAAAGTTGGATTCATCAAATATTTGTGAAATTTTTGGAATGGTAGAAAATTGTGGTTGTCGTTAGTTATGGGCAAAATAACTGGAACCGAATACCCAAAAGGACCCGAAATTTGGATGTACCAAACCCAAACTAATTTTTAGAAATACTTGAATGGGTCACCTCTATATTTGAAGAACCGATAATGAAAACTATACCCATTTATATTCAAAAGTATCTGAAATACAAGCATATATTTAAAAATATTGGTTATACATATACTTGTAATAACTCAAATACCCAAACGTACTATTATAAATTCGATTATATTTGATATGTTTCGGTAATTCGGGGTTTTAAGGTACATTTGGGTAAAAAGTAACAAATGTTTTAGTTAGAAGTGTTAGACGGGCCGGGCCGCGTTCATCTGGGCTGGCCCGGGATGGGCATTTAAGTTTGTGAGACTGCGACGGGCCGACCCGCAGCCCGCTATATATGACCGCGGCAAAAATGATATATTCATGTCCGCCCCGTTAAGTCAAACGGGTTAGTGGGCCGGCCCGGGGGCTTAGTTTTATTATTTTTAAAAATAATTAAAAATAAAAATAATTTTAAAATTTTGAAATTAAAAATTTTTCAATTTAAAAAAAAAAAACTTTTAGTATTTTTTCGTAGATTTTATAATTTTATACATTATAAAAATTTTCCTCCTAACTGGGTAACCAACCAAGGAGTTTTTATATTTAAAAAAAAAAGACGAAGATACTTCAAAAGATATTTGAAAATCTACGCATGAACACATTGTTTTATCTGTTGATCCGTAAATACGAATATTTTTTAAAAAAGTCGATAAATACCAGTTTAACTGTTTAAGACTATAATTAGTTGAACAAAAAAAATTCGATACAATGTGACATATTCACAGAGATGTTTAAAATAAAGAAATTCCTAAAAATACAACACTTTCAAGTTTTGTTTCCGAAAATACTACTATTAGTTTAATGTTCCAGAAATATCACCAAAAATTTTGGTTTCTAAAAATACCACAAACACAAAAATTGATTTTCAAATGTTGAGAATTTAAAATTTTAGATTTGAATTGGCTATTTTAGATATAGGGTATAGTTTCCAGGGGATATGGTTGAAGGTTTAGTTTTGAAATATGAAAATTTGATGGTATTTTAGGAAAATTAAAACTTAAGTAGCATTTTTTTTTTGTCAACCACACATTAATTAAAAAGTAACTCCATGAATGATTGCCTAATCAGGATGAGAAAAATTCACAAAAGTAGTTTTCGAAAGTAGAAGTCTAGAAGATCGAGCTAAACAATCCGCCTTAGAACTACATAAACGAGAAATAGAAGAAAGCGAGAAAAGAGAAAAAGAAGCACGGAGCAAACCAAAATCATCTAGCAGATTGGTGAAAGCGGGTCATTCTTAAGGGGACTGAACCATCGAGACTAACTCTGAACAATCTGTTTCAAACGCTTGACAATCAATCCTTCTTGAAAGGATAGTTTCCATAGCCCAAATTAATGCTCCCAACTCCGAGTGAAGGGGGGAGGGACACCTGCGAAGACACTTAGCACCCAACAGTATTGTATGATCACTTCCTTGAAAACACCACCAACCAAGACCCATAGTTGGATCCGAACTTAAGTAGCATTTTTGGAAAAGTAAAATTTAAGTGTCATATGTTTGAGAATTGCCTTATATAATATAATGAGCTAATACTTTCATGTATAAACGTTAGTATTTAACTGTCACAAGAATTTTTATTATATACAATAAAATCTCTATAAATTAATATTTGATAAACTAATAACATCTATAAATTAATAAATTTTTCCGGTCCCGAGTTAGAACTAGTGTAAAAACTGACACAAATAGATAAAATAATAAGATAATAATTTTTTTGAAAATTTTATGTAAACATATGGTCTCATCAATATCATAAATTAATAATTGTATAAACTTATCAATAAATAAATATATATATATATATACAACTTAATATTTATAATATATGATAGCCATATTTATATAAATATTACATGTAAAAACTTTTAGTGAAATATAACTCTAGTATTGTTTGTTTTTCTTAAATTTGTATTAATTTTTGGTAGAGTTCATTTCTAATAATTTTTGAAAAATTATTGGGTTCACCCCCCTTATTTACCCCCTCTTAATTAGCCAATAAAAATATAACAATATGCCATGAAATACTATATTTTAAAATAAATCAAAATTAAAATCCGAAAACAAAACAAATTAAGGAAACAAATCTTTATACTTTTAATTAAATAAATTAAATATCGGTTTGTGTTTATAAATAAGAGTTTGGGTGTAGATTATACAATTAAATGAGGTTAATTATATGTCGGTTTAAATTTATATAGATGGATTAGGATTTAAATTTACAATTAAAAAATAATATGTCAGTTTGGTTTATAAAAGAGTGATTAGGGTTTAGATTTTACAGTTAAACAAAATTATATGTCAATTTGGGTTTATAAATGAGGTTTAGGGTTTAGATTTCACAATTAAACAAAATTATATGTCGGTTTAGGTTTATAAAAGAGTGGTTAGGATTTAGATTTTACAACTAAATGAATTAGATGTTGGTTTGGGTTTATAAAAGAATGGTTAGGGTTTAGATTTTACAATTATTCAATTTACGTGTTTTTAATGAATTAATTTATTTTTTTATTTAGATAATATTAATTGTTTTAGTTTATTTGATTAGATTAAATGGTAAATTTTGATTGGCTAGTGAAGAGGGTGTGTGAATAAGAGGGGTGAACCCAAGAATTGTTCATTATTATTACTACATAGAAAAAAGTTTGTGTTGTTTTCTAAACTTAATATTTGATTTTCTACTTGTAATTGGTTCTACAAAATAGTGATTATAAAGGAAAAAATGTTTTTTTAGATAGAATTCTTTTAAGAACTATAAAAATAGTAAAATCTCTATAAATTAATAATTCTTAATTTATTGATAAATTAATATCTTTGTAAATTAATTAATTTTTTCAGTCCCGACATTATTATTTTATAGAAGTTTTACTATATGTTATACTAGATAAGGACCCGTCCGATGGACGGGTTTATTTTTAAAAAAAATTAAAATCAAATTTAACAAAAAATTAATTAACAACGTTGTAAGTACAAATTTTCTTTCAAAAGTAAAAACAATATTTACTTTTTCACTGTTGCCTTGTTTCTTTAACCACTAAAATTATTAATTCAAAATTATTTCGAATGAAAGATATATCACATAACAATAATTCATGGTATACTTATACGAAGAACAAAAATTAAAAATATTCATCATAAAGTTGGTGAATAAAACCAAAGTGGTGTTTAATTAGACACGTAAAAAATATAAAGATGATAAATCGACTAAATTCTTTAGCCTTCCAAGCTAACGTTGCGGGTTCGGTTCATATATACTCGATTGCAATAAATTTATGATCAATCAATAAAAATTAATAAATTCAAAAAATTATAAGCACGATGATATATGAATCTTATATAATTCAAATATGAACATAGAAATTGAAATAAAAAAATTTGAAATAGTATAATTAAATTCAAAATATCAAAAACAAAAAAGAAGCTTCTTACATATTCAAGAATTTCAAATAAAACAATATAAACTTTACTTAAAATCATCGCATATTTCTAATTAGAAAATAATATTGATATAAATAAAGTAAATTTGTAATTTAAATCATGACACATGTCACTATCTAAAATCATTAGAACTATGATATATTATAAATCTTATGTAATTTAAACTGAACGTAGAAACCAAAATAAATAATTTAAAGATGTGACAGTTAAACTAAAATTAAAAAATTATAAACACAATGATATATGAATCTTTGATAATTTAAATATGAAAAGAGAAATTAAATTAAACAATCTAACTATACTACAATCATAATTGAGGACAAAAAAAAAATAGTTAAGTAAAAAAATATTACAAAAAGGAAAAAAAAAAAATTGATCTCACATATTTCTAATTGAAAAAATAAACTCAAATAAATAACATGAGGATTAGTTTAATTAAATCATCACATATTTCTAATTGAAAAAGAAATTGAGATAAATAATATCAAATTTTAAATTAATATATAATAACAAATGTTTTCTTTTAATAAAATTGCTTGATTTTTTTCTTGTTTAATTGAAACATAAAAAACGTATAATTTCCTTATTATTATCTTTTGACATTTTTTAAATTTGTTTATAGAAATATGAATTATTTACAATTATTCTTATAATTATCTTTTACATTTTAAAAATTATTTAAATTTGTAATTACTTTCAATTATCTTCTTTTTTTATTTTAAAAAGGAAATTTTTATTTTACACGTATCAAAATCTAAGATCAATAGATTTGTCACGTGTCACGATAATATGAGTTATTAACTTTAAAAATCATACTTTATATAATAAGATTCGTACACTTGTTTCAGTAAAAACTAATTTGGGGTGTCCAGACCCAATTTTGCGTAACTTTTTACGAGGACAAATGACATTTAGGTTTAGTTTTATTTTTATTTTTGTCAGACGACATTTGAATCATTATTACAAGATAAACACATGGAATTTAGTGAAGAGCTTAACAAGTTAAAACCATATACTTATCACATATAATTTGTAATCAAATGATGTTCGATTTATTCCTTAAATTAGGAAACCGATAATTTCGTGAAATAAAAACAAAGTATCCATCCATAAAAATGTCGTAGTTTCCTCCACTCACTCACCAATAAAGCCAGCTTCTCACTTCCTCTTTCCATTCCCTATGGTGAGTAGCTCAAAGCTCTGGAGCGTGATGTCACGCGCAGTCCTCGACGGCGCAGCTCGGGCAAAAGAAGAAGACGATGGTCTAGTGGTTGGGTCAGGGATAAGCTGAGTCCTCTGAGCGGTTGAGGAACGGCCATTGTTTGGGACAACTCTGCTCGAGCGGTTCTCTGTGAAATCAGCTGAAGAAGTGGCTCGTACGCTCGAGACAACAGCTTTTCTTGAAGAACTTGCGTGTCTTGTTGAAGAGATTGGTCTTTCGACTCTCTCATAGTTTTGCTGGTTTTGATCAAACACGAGTTTAAGAAAGGATTTGAATAGCCAATATAGAAAAGTTTTCATGTATTTAGATGACTCACTGGAGTTGTATCCTTTGATGATGCTAATACATTCTCTGAGGTTCTTGGTCTAGATCGATCAGCTTGAACCACACCGCTTCCTGAGCCGTTTCTTCTAGCATATGCCTCTAAAGCACCTGAGAATCTATCGCGACTGTCTTGCCCAGCTCCAGCTGTATACAGACACAAATTTGGTTTACTATGTCCGGTTTTGTTCAAACACCAAACTTTGAGTAGCAAACACGATGCTTTTGTGACCAAGTCAGTTATAAGAAAATCAACAGACGAATAGGCCTAGACGCACACTTAAGATATTCCTACAAAACTGATGAAACTTTCTCTTAGAAAATGAAGAAAAAGAAAAAAACAGAAACTAATCGGTTCCTAGGTGGCTACAAAGCACCTGACGTTTTAGCATCGCAAGTAACCAAATAGGGAAACTGTTTGATGAAGCGAAAAAGCAGAAGCAACCACGAAAAGATACACGGAAACTTAGACAAGTGTTGAATCTAAGAGTTGTTACTGAAGATATGGGTTATACAGTTTAAGGCTTACCTGAAGGTTTATCTGATCTTTCAGCAGTTGGTACTGGAGGATTCATAGCTGGTCTCAGGCTTGACTGTTGGAACACAGAGACAACCGTGAGAATTTGATGATTTGTTCTAAAGAATTTTTTAAGATGATGGAAAATTCCAAAAAAAAAATAGATGTTACTTACTCTTGGTTTGGAGCTAGAGCTGGAGCCGGAACTAAACTGTGGATACTTCAAGATTGTCCAATCAAATACATAATCAAACTGATAACCTGAAAAGTTATATAATAAAAACAACACATTTTTGAGTATTGTATGTGAAAATCTTTGCGTATAAACTACAACAAAATAAGGAAAAATTGAGACTTTTCCCAACCTTCTCTAATGAAGAGATCCCTGAAAAGCCTCTTTAGGTATGGATAATCTGGTTTGTCTTCGAACCGCAATGATCGTACATAGAGGAAGTATGATGTGAACTCAGGTGGAAAGGATTTACAGAGAACCTGCCAGTGGACATTTAAATTATATCTATGAATGCAACATTTAGGTAAGTGGAAGACTCTTTTGCTGGATTTAAGAAAACATCCATGGCAGTTTCCATACAGGTTTCCGAATCTATTTGAAAAATGGATTAGGAAGTAGTACCTCTACCGGTGTAAGCCTTTTCTTTTCGCTGATCTTGTCATACTTCTGCTTTTTGGTACCCGCACGAAGGCCTTGCCAAGGAAGACTAGCAAGAGAGACTGAGGGTAAGGGACAAATAGAAGAAAACTCTAAAATATTGGATGAAGTAAGGAACTATCTATACCTTCCTCGAAGAAAATACATAAGCACGTAGCCAAGAGATTCCAGATCGTCCCTCCGACTTTGCTCTATATTTAACAAATCTCAATTTAGTTTGATGGACGTAAAAATAGTCAAAGTTTTTTTATGTGAGAGTGAAAGAAGAAAAAGCTCGCACACACATAAAAAGCAAACAATACTCACCAATTCCAAGATGGGTGTTAACACTTGCATATCGAGCTGTTCCAGTAAGATTCTTGTTTTCCCTAAATAAGTAACTCTCAATTAGTAAATATATTACCAATATTTCATTAACACTTCAAAAATTTATATTGAGCGAAACTTTTTAACAAGACAAAGAAAAATGTGTACCTGTAGGGAATGTGCCTATGAGTTTGAAGATCTCTATACTTTTTTGCAAGTCCGTAGTCAATGATATACACCTACACAATAACAAAGAGGACATATCAGTGAAAAGATGCAAATGCAAACATAAAGTAGTAGCAAAAGACCAGCGAAAGAAATCCGAAAAATCAAACAAGTATATTATTATCATTCCACATAAAAAAAAAAGTTGCATACCATAACTACTCACCTGGTTCGCTTTGCGTCCAAGACCCATCAAAAAGTTATCTGGCTTTATGTCACGATGAAGAAATCCCCGGACATGCATATACTCAACTCTATTTATCTGAAGAAATCAAAATATGAGTAACACAATAACTCAAATATATCAGAAGAAAGGAAGATAATATATCCATACCATCTGATCTGCGAGCATTAGAACCGTCTTTAGATTAAACCTCCGACTACAATAATTAAATAAATCCTCCATGCTCGGACCCAAAAGGTCAATCACCATACAGTTGAATTCACCCTCTACCCCATACCATTTTAGATGCGGAATTCCAGCTTCAATAACACAAGCATAAAGATCAATAAAAGAACGATCATTGAAGGGTTTAAACCGACGAAAGACGAAACTTACTTCCTCCTTGAAGAAGCATATAGAGCTTTGATTCATAATGAAGTTGAGGATGCCTAGCCCTCGCAGGTTCCTACAAGTTTTGGTGATCAAGAATAAGTTAACACATTACTGAATTAAAAAGAGTAATGGTCAAAATGTTGAGACTTACAAGCTTCACAGCAACTTCTTCACCAGTTTGTACATTAACCCCTGAAATCAACACAAAATCAAAAAGAGTTATTACAAAACCAAAACTTGGAATTACCAAAAAGACATGAATAAAAAAAAAAGAAGCAAATACCTAGAAAAAGTTCACCAAATGAACCACTTCCAAGTTTACGTCCAAGCTTATACTTGCCACCAACCACACGATCCATCGTTTCCAAATCAAAAAGTTTCCTCCTTTCTACAATCTCTTAAAAGCTAAAGTTGACCCAGATCTCAATTTTTGTTCCTTGACTCTCGAAAAGCTTGGTCGAATTCGAAGATCCCCAATTCAAATTCGAATATCTGAATCGAATCAAAACTATTTTGACCCAAATAGATTCACCAAGTAATCTAATTGAACTTCAAACTAAAATTCACCCATTGACCAACATCGTTATCGAAACTCTGACATTTTTTTTTCTGACAAAAAGTTTTCAGATCAGGTTTTGAAGAAACACAAAATGAAAGGGAAGAGACAAAACAAAAAAAAAAAAAAGGTGAAAAGAACAAAGAGAGACGAAATCAGACCGAAACAAAAAAAATTGGGTCTTTGGATTCGATTATCGTCTGATCTATAAAGACTGTTATGAGACAGCTTGATTCAGTATTTTTTTTTTTTTTTGATTCTGAAAAAAATCTGATTTTTTTTTTTTCTTAAGGAAGATAACGAATTACAGACGAAACCAAACGTTAAAATAAAAATGAAAAAGAAATCTGACGAGACGGCCTTGAAGATGAGAGATTTTCTTTCCTTATCACTAATTTCTTTTTCTTTTTCTCCAATTTTGCTACATTTCTTCATTTATGGAGTGACCTACCTCTCCATATAAAAAAGATGTTAATTAATAACATAAAATTAGTTGGATTTTAATGTTATGTAGCATTTTTTTTTTGTTATTGGAGTAATATACTAATATTGATAGTAGATTTAGAGCGGTTACAAAACATGAAAAAACAAATTACAAAAAAACATAATGTTCGATCCAAAACCTATAACTAGCAAAAAAGAGAATTTTTCGATAATACATTGCTAAAATTAAAAAATCTTGTTTCGATATTATTGAAACCCTCAAAGTTTACCACAAAGACTTTCCGCACTACAATCTATTAATATAGACTTTAATATTTGTTACAATAACAAAAAGTTGAACTTAGCTTTCTCCGCAAATCATAATTTTTTTTTTTAAATATCTTTGTCACGAATCTTTCGGATGAACAGTCGGATAAACGCTACACTTCATACCGGCGGAGTATTTACAGGAGGTACTTTTCGCCAATTTTTGCAATAATAGCTTGTTCTAAACGAGTATTGAAGCCAACCAAAACTTACTACTACGCAGTGGCGGAGCTAGAAAATTATTTTACGGGGTCGGAAATTTTTTTTAGTATAAAAAATACATTAGATATTTCATTTTTCTTTTTCTTTGTATGTTTGTAAAAAGGTAAATAATATTAGGTAAATTTATCTCATTTAACATAAATTATGGGTTTAAAATTCTAATGGAAGACTAATTTTCAAGTATTTGGACTATTTTTTGTTTCATGTTCCAATATTAATTTTGTATTGGTATCAAAATTTATTTTAGGTTGGGGTCATTACAATTATTACCAATTACAAATAATGAATTTTTAAAAAATTATGGGTCAGTTGACCCCCTACCAAACCATTGCCTCCGCCACTACTACTATGCTTTGTATAATCTATATAGTCACTAAATTGTTAAATTTGGTTTATTGATTCTCAATAGTAATAACAATTTTTTTTTATTAGATCGGTTACCGATCTATAAAATTTTAGTATGTGGGATAACGCGATTTGATAGAATCGAATTTAGATGGAGAAGACCGCAAATGAACTTTTTTTTTCCTTTTTTCTTAATTACAAGCATGATATGCATTAAAAATAATCAAATATTGCATATTCAGATTTCTCAAATTCCTGTTTTCAATATTATATTATCATTTTTTCTGTTTAGACCTTTTCTTCTATAACAGTGTCAAACATATAATGACATGCATTTTCTACAAAGACAGCTAGAGAACTTTGCTTTTAAATATTCAGACACAACTTGGAAAATAAAAACATATTAAACAAGAAAAAGTACACATTGAGGATCCATCAATTAGGGCTTTTACCAAATTAGTCGGTACGATAAACTCGCCTAAACACTAAATATGGGCTGAATTTATTGGGCTTCTTCTATCAATGGCTCGGCCCATTACATATTTCCAAAATGATAATTCTATGACGTGGGCATCAATCCATGGATCTTGAGCTTTCACCACGTCCACCAATAATAAATAAACACACAGGTCTGCTTCACACTGATCATCAATCACGATCTCTTCTATTTTATTCACCGGCGTTAATTTTCCGATCTCGATTAAGATGGCGAAGGAACCAGTTCGTGTTCTTGTTACCGGAGCTGCAGGTAATCTCCGATCTTATTTCTGCTCTCTCTGGTTATTGATTCGTATCGTCAGATCTTTAGAGTCGTATAATGAGATCTGATGAGAGAAATTAATTGGATCTAAATTTGTTCTGATTTTGTAATTTTGCGATTGATTTGTAGTTTTGTGTTTAGATCACTGTTTAATTGTGTTTTGGATGAATTGTATGAAGGATTTTTGTTACTTTGGGTTGGTTTTGATCATGATTTTGCGATTGATATGTATTTTTGTGTAGATTATGTTTAAGTGTGTGTGTATGTTGTTTTGCAGGACAAATCGGATATGCTCTTGTTCCTATGATTGCAAGGGGGATAATGCTTGGTGCAGACCAGCCTGTGATCCTCCACATGCTTGATATCCCTCCGGCAGCAGAAGCTTTGAACGGTGTGAAAATGGAGCTGATCGATGCTGCTTTCCCTCTTCTGAAAGGTAAGTTTTGAGTTATGGAAGTTGTGAATTTGTGCACCCTTGGATTGTATATGATGTTGCCTTTTTTTTTCCTGATGACAGGTGTGGTTGCTACAACTGATGCCGTTGAAGGATGTACCGGTGTTAATGTTGCTGTCATGGTTGGCGGTTTCCCGAGGAAGGAAGGAATGGAAAGGAAGGATGTTATGTCCAAGAACGTTTCCATTTACAAGTCTCAAGCTGCTGCCTTGGAGAAGCATGCCGCACCAAACTGCAAGGTTATAAGTCCTTTAATTGTTTCTTATAGCCATTATGCAGAAGTGAAGAAGTTAATCTCTTACTTTGTTGTAGAGATATTTCATATTTGCTATCTCTGCATTTTGTAGGTTCTGGTTGTTGCAAACCCTGCAAACACCAATGCATTGATCCTGAAGGAATTTGCACCATCGATCCCAGAGAAGAACATTACTTGCTTGACCAGGCTTGACCACAACAGGGCATTGGGACAAGTCTCTGAGAGGTTAAGCGTACCAGTGTCTGATGTCAAGAACGTGATTATCTGGGGAAACCACTCATCAACCCAATACCCAGATGTCAACCACGCTACCGTTAAGACTTCCTCTGGAGAGAAGCCAGTGCGTGAGCTAGTCAAGAATGACGAGTGGTATAAATCTTTTCAAACCCTTATAATATCTCAATCTTGTTTTCGTCTATACGGTACTCAAATTTTTTAGAGATTAATGTTGTAGGTTGAATGGAGAGTTCATTTCCACCGTTCAACAACGTGGAGCTGCCATTATCAAGGCCAGGAAACTGTCTAGTGCACTCTCTGCAGCTAGCTCTGCTTGTGACCATATCCGTGATTGGGTCGTTGGAACACCCGAGGTTGGTCATAAATACTGTTTAATCTCGAATCAATTGGTTTTTTTGTGTACTAAATAAAACTAATAAGTTCTTCGATTTGATTTCTCAGGGCACATTTGTTTCAATGGGAGTATACTCAGATGGATCCTACAATGTTCCAGCTGGACTTATCTACTCTTTCCCCGTAACCTGCCGTAATGGAGAGTGGACTATTGTTCAAGGTAAAACACAATGTTCTCAAGAGAATCCAATCCACCTCTAATGCTAAGTGTGCAAAGCTGGTTCTCGCTGCGATGATTAGCTCATAGAACTAGTGATGTTATTTTAGAGATTGTTCTGATGTATGTGTGTTGTTTGTTCACAGGTTTACCGATCGATGAAGTATCAAGGAAGAAGATGGATTTGACAGCAGAGGAGTTGAAGGAAGAGAAGGACCTCGCTTACTCATGCCTCTCTTAAACCGGTTTTTCTCTGCCGGTTTAATCAGTGAGAGCTTTGTTTTGAATAAAAAAGTTTGCTATAAAGAACTTTTAATAAACCTCTTGAGCTTGAGGTTTAGTTTTCCTAATTTTCGATGTGTCAGTGCTGATTTGCTGACCATATAATCAATCATATTGATAATTGATTGATCTCGTTTGGTTTCTGGTTTTTTTCTTACGTAACGGGAGATGCAAAAACTCGTATTTATTGGTCGAATTTTACGTAATGTGACATTCTCGGTTGGCAGTATATCAACGGTAGCTTACCCGATGGCCACGAGTTCGGTCGATTAGGTAATCCTGTGGTAACTAAAACAATCCAATACTAATGTCAAAATTGAAAAGCTTGCAAGGTTTTTGTAAATATTTTTGGGTTTTGATGTAAGTTACAAGGAGTTAAATTTGATCCGGACGGCGATTACTTGAGGCAATGGATCCCGGAGCTAGCAAGATTACCTACGTGGGACGCTCCTGTATCCGTGCTAAGAGCCTCGGGTGTTGAATTGGGTAGCAATTATGCTAAACCCATTAGTAGACTTAGACACAGCCTGGGAACTTCTCACACAAGCAATATTGAGAACACGGGAAGCGCAGATCATGATCGGTGTTGCACCGGAAGAGATTGTGGTGGATAGTTCCGTTAGAGATTCATATGTAAAGGTAGCCACTGAGAAGACATGGTTCATGTAGTTCCATGACTGCTTGTAAAATGGATCAGGAGGATACTGTATAAACACTAATATATTCAAGAATCAAATACCATGTCATTACCAATGAACAGGGAAAAGAAGCAGTTATGAAGACGGCAATAGAAACCAAAAACTGAAGATGGAGAGGAACTAAAAGACTTTATATTTGGTATAACTATGTTGAGGAATTAACATTATAGATGTGGTTCTCAAGAATGTGACTTGAAAAGGTAACCGAAAAACCAAAGAGATCGTGAAATAAGCTGGCTCAGCTAGAGGAGTGGAATATATAGATTCTCGTTTTATCTGTGAATGACTTCATTTTACCTCTTCTTTCTGAGTTCGAGTGAGACGAGCTTCTTCGGAGGGTGAGCATAGAAAATTCCATAATGTGAAGCACTTGAAGATGCATAATACGAGGTAACTGTCAGCTGAGCAAACTTTGGAAGTGCATAACCTACCAAACATTGTACACAAAACAAAAGTTCAGGTACTTGAAAGAAAACAGACAGATGTATATACAAGTACAAAAGACTACGTGCACAAAGCTACTAACATACCCACTACCACCTGGCATTTGAAAGTTTTAAACAGATAAGAGGAAAGCCAATCATCTTGATGGGTAAATCATTAATGCAAGTAATTCACCTAAAGGTAAAAGTTGCAATTCTACACTGTGAAGCACACCTTGATTCGTATTCACCATACAATAGTGGAAAAATTATCACGGCTCGTAAACTTTCTTGCATTTAAATTCTACAACTACAAAAGATGCTAACAGAACTACATAAGTTCAAAACACAAAATGTGAAGGCCATTCACAAAACATTAGGACAAACCACAGACATTTAATCACTAATGCAGGATATATATATATATATACACAATAGATAGTTAAGCCCAAGAGAAGCGAGTGAGACAAAGAAGATTATGCTACCTCCAAAATCTCTAACGGAAAAGAAGACATGACCATTAACGGAAAAGAAGACATCATTGGCCAAACTATCACCTCCAATGATCAACAGGTTCCATCGGCGGTTCATCAGAACGGTTCCAAGAGATTGAAACCCGACTCTTCTTCTTCTTCTTCCTCGGTCGCGGTTAAGAGATAGAACAGGAACATGAGCTTCTACTCAATACCAGAACAATCTTGTTCCTTAATGTGCGAAGGGAACAATTTGCTAGATATTAAAGATTCTTCTTCCGGTAGAAGAAGCTCAACAAAGGATATTTAATTTGAAAAAAAAAATTCTCATACTATATGTTTGTTGTTATATTTTGGATATCAGATTCTAATAGCAGTTTTTATATATTATAAAATCCGTTTAATGAAAACGTAATTAAAAAAAAGTAGGAAACTCAGAGTGCAACAATATAATCTAAAAATCTTTCAAAACACAAAAAAAAAACAAAAGATCCTAACAAAATGCGATAATTAAGAAAAACAAAAAGAAATTAAAAAAAAAATCTAAACAACAACAATCTTCTCCTGGATTTTCTCCGGTTCAGTTTCGCCGGAAAGCTCTTCAAGCGATATCCCATTAGGCTCCGGAATTGTACCTAACGTGATTAACAAGCCAGCAAGATTGATTCCTCCCATGATGTATAACGTGGTACTCATACCCAAAGCTTTAACCAAAGCAGAAAACCCAAAAGAACCGACCATCGCACCGGCTTTACCCGACGCTGCCGAGATACCGTGACAAGTTGACCTTATCCTCGCCGGAAAAATCTCAGCCGGGACAATGAAAGTAGTTGCGTTAGGTCCAAAATTTGAGAAGAAAAATGTGAAAGAGTAGAGAACCACGAAACCAATCCGGTTAGCCGGTAAGGTCCAATGATGGTACGGTATGGCTAAACTGAACATGAAAACGGTCATCATAGCGAATCCCATGACCTGAATCTTTTTCCGTCCCATATAATCGATCAAGAATATAGTGAAAATGTAACCGGGAACGGTACTGCAACAAGCGATTATGGTTTGAGCCCTAGCGATCATGAAGAGCTCTTGGATTGCGTTCATGGTTTTAGCCGAAGGTAACCAACCGATGGTGGTGAAGATATCCTTCTGGAACAAGTTTTGGCTGTAGAAAGCAATGTCGAGGAGGAACCATGTGGAGGCTGTTCCGAATAAGTGAAGTCCGTGACGGCGAAGGAATTTCATGGAGAACAAGCCAAACTCGTCTGAGGAAACCCTAGCTTGGTCATTCTTTGCGGAAGAGGCTTCAATGTCTACGTTGAGAACCTTAGTCATATCCGAAGCTGCTTGTTCCGCGTTCTTGGCGACTAGAGCGGTGTAACGAGCAGTTTCGGGCATCTTCATCCGCCAGTAGTAAGTCAAGAGAGCTGGTAAGGCGCCTACCATGAGGATGATCCTCCACACGTAATCTGCTTGTGGGACAGTGGAGGCTGCACCGTCCAATATATAAGCCCGAGATGGAAACTTACTCTCGAAAACAGCCGAGACAAGTAACGAAACCGCTCCTGCAGCAAGGATCCCAACTCCTTGCATACCGAAAACCGCTGCTATGAACGCTCCGCGAGTACGTTTGTTGGCATACTCGGACATGATCGTAGCGGAGAGAGGATAGTCACCACCGATACCAAACCCGAGCCAGAAGCGGAAGAAGCAGAGAGTTACCATGACAGTTTTTGGGTCTCTTCCAAGAGAAAGACCAGAACCAATGGAGCATATGGTCATGATCAAGAGTGTCAAACCATAGACTCTCTTACGTCCAAGCTTGTCACCAAGACATCCGAAGAAAATCTGTCCGAGTAACGTTCCGGCGAAGGCCACACCACTCACGGCGGCAGAGATACCGTCAGGGAGGCTTCCGGGAGAGGAGGAGCCAGGAACCTGATAGTAGATCCGGCCAAGTAGCTTCGTGATAAGAGATATCACGAAGAGATCGTATGAGTCTGTGAAGAAACCCATACCGGAGACTACCACCGCCGTGACGTGGTACCATTGAGTCTTTGCAACGTCAAGAGCTTTCAAGATGCTTCCTTGTTCTTCGTTAGACATGGCGATATTTTTTGTTCTCTTAACTCTGAAAAACCAAACAAGTGGAAAGAATTGTTAAAATATATATAGAGAACGTTGGTGTAACAAAAACGTAGCAAGTCTAGTTTGATAAAAATATGAAACTAGTAGTACTATAATTTAGGTAATAAAATCTATCAACAACTTAAAAAAAAAAATTGGGGATCCGTGACTTAAACTGACCAAAAATATTGCGATAAAAAAGATAAGACACAGAAAGATCATGTCATATGGTTTCTAGCATGCAAAATTCATGATCCATCGAACAAATTAGTTTCCGTGATGAAACATCTGATATTAGTTGCGAACAAATATATGAACTAATTATGTTTATCGAATAATCGAGGAAACTCTACAAAGAATAAACAAGAATAAACTCAAAAAGAACATGTACATATAGAGAATGTATGATGAATCTACAAAGAACGTAACACATGATTATATTTTTTTTTTTCGTGACGACACATGACTATATATCATTCCAAACTTTCAAAACGTTATACGAATTCCAATATAAAAAAGTTATTAAAATTTAGGACTGAACCTGCTTTAGTGTGACCTAAGCTCTTCTCTTCAACGCCGCCTTCAACTTTCGCCGGAGATGGATTCAGTGGAAGCGGTGGAGAAGATCCTGAACTACAGTTTCACGAAGTACAAGACTCTTCTCAAGGACGTGATTAATAACCAAAGACTCGTTTTTTTTTTTCAGCTGATGATTGTTGATTTGATTGTTGTTAGGTGTTAGGGTTTATAGCTTTATATATATAGATGAGAGAACAACAATAGCATATTCTATTAGGAAAAGGAATAGAATTTTTTTTCTTTTTTTTTGTGTGTTTGATAAAATCAGAGTGGAAAATTGAGAATAATTCACGTAACTCTTTTTAATAGTTTTAATATTTTAATATGTTGATAATTGTTGGGAATTTTTGGTTGATTCTATCCGATTGTAAAAGATTGCAAATTGGTTACTGAGAATATTCCTTCTTAGTAACAATATTATAGAATTTTTATGCACAAAAAAAAAGAAACTATATTTATCTATAACTACGTACGTGAACATTAAATTAAACAAAAATTCAAAAATCCAAAATTGAATTCAATTAGTAATATAGATGGTATTATTTTTGTCTTATGAAATAAACCAAACTAAACCCATTTCGAACTCAAATCTTGTGCAATTCAAACGAATAAACAAAAATTCACTAAAATCATATATTGAAATTAAATATAAATACAGATAAATTGTATTTATATACCCCAAAAGGTCATAATATAATTAAGTGTATATATTTGTAACAGTTTCCTATTCAAAATCAACCGTACCCACACCAAAATAAAATCACATTTTAATCATTCGGAGTTTCGGACATGTTTTCTAAAACCTAAAAACCTCAAACTCAAAGAAGTTAAACCATATACTGACCCGAAAATAAAAATGTCCTGACCTATTTCCAGCTACAAGAATCATGTATTCGACTTCTACACCATTATAGAAGCTCGAACAGAATTAATCCACAATCTCCTTCTTGATAGTGACATATGAATGGAATATTTTCGAGCTTTTATTATGGTGTACTAGTCAAATTCTTGTGTTTTATTTTCGTTGCTCTAAGCTAGTGTGTTGCTCTGTTTTGATAGAGCTCTAAACTTTGAATGAAATTCATTAGTTTTCTAATAGATTAATATAAGTAAACGACTAAAGCTAATTTCAACCTTGCTTTTGGAGTGACAAGTTTTTTTCAGAACAGTGAGTCGAGTTCAAAATATTCAACAAGATTTAAATGATATCATAAATATTCTTATAACATCATACCTTCAAGTCAGCGAACGAATAAAATGAAAACAAAACCAAACATCGCACTCCAAATAACAAAATTAAAATAGAAAATTACAAAAGTTTCATCGTCACAAAATATATAACAATTTCTCGTCATGGCTAACCTCAGCCTCACCAGAGAGTTCTTCGAGGGACTTTCCCTTTGGCTCTGGGACAAGGAAGGTGAAGAGCATACCGATGAAGTTAAGAACACCAAGCACGATCAGTGAGTTCTTAACTCCGATGCCTGGTGGGTATCCTGCATCCACCTTGGCCTTGTCTTGTGACTGAGCTGCATATAGGAACCCGAAGGCTCCAATGATGGCTCCAGCCTTACCAGCCGCGGCTGATATTCCATGACATGTTGACCATAGCCTGGCTGGAAAAATCTCAGCCGGGACAATAAAAGTGGTTGCATTTGGACCAAAATTGGCGAAGAAGAAAGTGAGAGCGTACATAACCACAAATCCGATACGGTTTTCTGGTTTGGTCCAGTGGTTGTAAGGGAAGGCAATTGCAAACATAAAAACGGTCATCATGAAAAATCCCATTGGCTGGATCGCAAACCTTCCAATGATATCAATAAAAGCAACTGTGAACCAGTAGCCTGGGACTGTACTGCAAAGGGCGATAAGAGTCTGAGCCCTAGCAATCCTGAAAACCTCATGGGTCGCGTTCATGGTGGCTGGCTTTGGGATCCATCCGATGGCCGAGAAAATATCCTTCTGGAACAAGTTTTGGCTGTAGAAGGCAATGTCAAGCAAAAACCAAGTGGAGGTAGTCCCAAGGAGATGAAGCCCATGGCGCCGAAGGAATTCCTTGGAGAACAAGCCATAGTTTTGTCTGGGGTCTTTGACGAAATCCTCGGCCCTCTCCTCAACCTCAAGATCTGTATGTAAGACCTTGGACATGTCTGCTGTGGCTTGTTTGATGTTCTTGGCCACCAAAGCG